ATTAAATCTATTTGATCTAGCGCTTCATTTAGAGTCTGTGTTTCCTTGTTAATTTTTTGCCTAGATCTATCCAGTGATGTCAGTGGGGTGTTGAAGTCCCCTGCTATGATTGTATTGCTGTCAATTTCTCCTTTGAAGTCCTCCAAAAGATGTTTAATATATGTTGTTGCTCTTATATTGGGTGCATATATGTTTACCAAGGTTATATCTTCCTGTTGGATAGATCCTTTCAATATTAAGTAGTGGCCTTCTTTGTCTCTAGTTATGGCCTTCATTTTGAAATCTACTTTATCAGATATGAGTATTACTACCCCAGCTTTTTTTTGCTCTCCGTTTGCTTGAAAGATTTTTTCCATCCCTTCACTTTCAACCTATGTGAGTCTTTTGTTATGAGGTGGGTCTCTTGTAAACAACATATATGTGACTCATGCTTTTGTATCCAGTCAGCTACTCTGTGTCTTTTTATTGGTGCATTCAAACCATTCACATTTAAGGTGATAATTGATATGTACTTATTTATTGCCATTTTTGTTAAGGGTGGTTCTATTTTTCTTCCTATTTCTTCTACTAATTACAGCAGTCCTTTTAGCATATCTTGCAGTGCTGGTTTGGTGTTAATATATTCCCTTAGCCTTTTTTGTCTGGAATGCTCTTTATTTGACCTTCTATTTTGAATGATAGCCTTGCTGGATAGAGTAGTCTTGGATTCAGATCCTTGTTTTTCATGACCTTGATTACTTCATGTAACTCCCTTCTGGCCTGTAGTGTTTCTTGTGAGAAGTCAGCTGAAAGCCTTATGGGGTTTCCTTTGTAGGTATCCTGTTGCTTACCTCTTGCTGCCTTTAGGAGTCTCTCTTTGTCTTTAATTTTGGGTATTTTAATTACTATGTGTCTTGGTGCGGGCCTGTTTTCGTTCTTCTTACTTGGGGCTCTCTGTGCTTCTTGAACTGGAATGCCTTCTTCCTTCACCAAGTTAGGAAAGTTTTCTGTCATTATTTCTTCAAATATGTTCTCTAACCCTTGCCCATTTTCTTCCTCTTTGGGGAATCCTACGATGTGAATATTAATATGTTTCCAGTTGTCCCACAGTTCTCTTAAGCTATCTTCCTGTTTTTTAATCATTTTTTCCTTTGGTTTTCTGATTCGTTGATTTTTTCTACCCTGTCTTCTAATTCACTGATCTGGTCCTCAGCTTCCTCTACTCTGCTGTTTAGTCCTTCCAATGTGCTCTTTATTTCTGCTATGTCATTCTTCATTTCCACTTGGTTGGTTTTCAGTGTTTCTATATCTTTATTCATGGTGCTGATGTCCTTACTCATGCTGTTGAGCTTCCTCAAGATCATGGCTCTGAACTCTACCTCTGATAATTTGCTTAGCTGCATTTCATTGATCTCATCTTCGATAGAGTTCTCTTGTTCTTTCATTTGGGATTTGTTTTGTTTCACCATTTTGGCTATCTCAGTGAGTTTTGGAGCCTGCCAAATTTACCCTGTGGGTGTTGGTGTTCTGCTGTTTGTGGCTCTCTCTGCTGGGTTCAGATGAGCCTGGGTGGGCCCACATTAAACACCACTGTCAAGCCTTACTTTCCTGGGTAGATTTGCAAGCCCAGAAAAGGTTCGGTTATACTCTAGCTTTTTCCTGGTGGCTAGTAGTCTCAATTACTCAGTGCCTTGGAATGTAGCTCTGGTGTTCTGCCTAAGAGGATTTCCAGAGGGTGGGATAGATGCTGACTGTTAATGAGCCTCAATTTTTATTTTTTTGCCTCACCTGGGAAAGTCTGAATCTCTGAGGGCGGGGGGCTGCTGCTTTTCCCCACAGCTCTGGGAAGGAGTACACTGGCCACTGTCCTTTGTGGCTGCAACTCAGCAGAAATTCTGAGTGCCCTCCAAATCCTGGGTGTCCCCACAGAGTTCCAGCCCAGTCTGTCCTCCCTCTGCCGTAGGCCCCAGGTGAGTGGCTGTGGCTATTTTAGTGCTCTGTCCTGGCTCTCTGGGCTGTGGAGCGGGCTTGGTCTATTCTTCAAGGGTGCTGCTCACATCTAAGACTGCTGCTGTCCTTGGGCTCCAAGCCCGCTACCCTCTCATGCCTCCGCAGATCCTACCAGTGTCCCTGGTTATATGGTCCTGTCCTGCTGCTTTTCTGTTGCTTTTTTCTGAGGTTTTGTCTTTATTTTAGTTGTAATTCCCGTTTGGTCCTGGGAGATCGTCTGTGTGGCTTCTATTCACTCTGCCTCCTTTTTCACAACCTCTAAGCCTATCTTGTGCACAGCTGGGTTGCACAGGCCTTTCTGGTGCCCCTGCACCCTGCAGGTCCCATGGGTAACTGGATCGCACAGTCCCTCTGGGGACCAGGTTCTATGCCTATATTATGGGCTTCTGGGACGCACAGGCCTCTCTGGTGCTTCAGCATCCCACCGGCCCCGTGGGTAACTAGATTGCACAATCCCTACTGGGTCGCACATTCCTCTCTGGTGCTTTAGTACCCCACAGGCCCTTTGGGTAAGTAGATCGTGCAGTCCCTGCTGAGTCATGGGGGCCTCTCTGGTGCTTCAACACCCCACAGGACCCGTGGGTATATGGATCGCACAGTCCCTGCTGGGTGTCACAGACCTCTCCGGTGCCCCTGCGCCCTGCAGGTCCCATGGGCGGGCAGCTGGATCGCACCAGACTCTCTAGGGATCAGGCTTCCCACTGCTCTTGTGGGCAACTGGACTGTACAGGCCTCTGTGAAGCCCCAGGTCCCGCTGCTGGCGGCTGGGGAGTGCTGCTGCCCCGTGGGGCTCAACTCCTGCTCAGCTTTTACTGTAGATTGTGGGGATGGGTCTCAGCTGCTGGTCTGTACTTCTGTTGCCTGGGGATGGATGTCTGCTCCCCAGCCTCTGTTGCTAGGAGTATATCTCAACTCTGATCGGGCTGCTACTATGGGGGATGGTGCTGGGCTCTGGGCTGTCTGTGGCTTCCGTGACCAGCACCTTGGGAGCTCCACTACTGTGCACGGGTCTGTGTTGACACAGAGTGTCCACTGGTCCGATGGTGCCAGGTGCGCTGGTGGCTCAGGTTGCTGGGCCCTAGCCGCTCCCACTGCCTCCTCCCAGGGAAGACCCGGGATCTTCCAAAATGGTGGGACCTCCCCGCGGGCAGGGAGAAGCTCCCTGAAGGGCTGCCTACCGAGGTAGCCGGCTCCGTCCACAGCACAGGAACCTTCTGCTCCGCAGCTCTGCGCTGCTCGGGTTCGGACGTCCACCTTCACGTCCACTCACACTCTCACACACTCGCTCACTCTCACACACTCGCTCACCCTCACACACTCGCTCACTCTCACACACTCGCTCACCCTCACACACTCGCTCACTCTCACACACTCGCTCACCCTCACACACTCGCTCACTCTCACACACTCGCTCACTCTCACACACTCGCTCACTCTCTCACACTCACTCACTCTCACACACTCGCTCACTCTCACACACTCGCTCACTCTCACACACTCGCTCACTCTCTCACACTCACTCACCCTCACACACTCGCTCACTCTCACACACTCGCTCACTCTCACACACTCGCTCACCCTCACACACTCACTCACTCTCACACACTCGCTCACCCTCACACACTCGCTCACCCTCACACACTCGCTCACCCTCACACACTCGCTCACCCTCACACACTCGCTCACTCTCACACACTCGCTCACCCTCACACACTCGCTCACCCTCACACACTCGCTCACCCTCACACACTCGCTCACCCTCACACACTCGCTCACTCTCACACACTCGCTCACCCTCACACACTCGCTCACTCTCACACACTCGCTCACTCTCACACACTCGCTCACTCTCACACACTCGCTCACCCTCACACACTCGCTCACTCTCACACACTCGCTCACCCTCACACACTCGCTCACCCTCACACACTCGCTCACTCTCACACACTCGCTCACTCTCACACACTCGCTCACTCTCACACACTCCCCCTCCCTCCGGTCCTGCCCGCCGCCATCTTTTTCTTTCAACTTCAAATAACTTTTATTCAAAAATGTTTAGGGTCTTTCAGAGCTTAGCCCTTATTCACGTTTTTTTCTTAATTCTCATCTGAGGACACTTTTCCATCTTTTGTTCAGATAGAGTGGGAGGAGAGAGAGGAAGAGAGAGAGAGAGAGAGATATCAATGTGAAAGGGACACATCGAGTGGCTGCCACCCGCACGACCCAACCAGGGCCGGGGACAAACTGCAGCTGAGGTACGTGCCCTTAGCGGGAACCGAACCCGGGTCTCTCTGGACTGCAGGCTGATGCTCTAACCGCTGAGTCAAACCGGCCAGGGCTATTCATGTTTATTAATCTAACTTTTACCATTGGAGGATTTTACCTTTTTTGTGTACTGATTGAACTGCGAAAGTCTTTTGGCACTTCCATAGTTTTGCTATTAGGGTTAATGTTTCTAATAACATTATTTTTAAATGTTTTAATTTTTTTAAATATGTTTTTATTGATTTTTTTAAAGAGAGAGAGGGGAAAGAAGAGAGAGATAGAAACATCGATGTGGGAAAGAAACATCGATCAGCTGCCTCCTACACGACCCCACTGGGGACCAAGCCCAAAACTCGGGCATGTGCCCTGACTGCAAATCAAACTGGGGCCTCTCAGTCCATTGGACAATGCTCCATCCACTGAGCCACACCTGCCAGGCAAATGTTTTAATTTCTAAATTGTAGTAAAATCCTTTTTATTTTTATTTTTTTATTTATTTATTTTTTTTTATCCTCACCCGAGGACATTTTTCCATTTTTTGTACAGACAGAGTGGGAGGGAGAGAGAGGAAGAGATAGAGAGAGAGAAACATCGATGTGAAAGGGACACATCGAGTGGCTGCCACCCGCACGACCAACCAGGGCCGGGGACAAACTGCAACCGAGGTACGTGCCCTTAGCGGGAACCGAACCCGGGTCTCTCCGGCCAACCGCTGAGCCAAACCGGCCAGGGCATAAAATCCTTTTTAAAAGGGTTTCTGTCGTGAGTGGCACACGTAGAGCAGCTTGATTGCTCCACGTGCAGAATCGACATCGAGAGATTTCGGGAGCATAATTTTTTGGTCCTTGGCAGCTGGTGATTGTTGGTCCTGGCGCCCTCCCCCCCAAAAAAAATTGTAGTAAAATCCAATAGTTCTTGTGCCTTTATCTTCTGCTTTAGTTTGTCCTAATCTCATCCCCACTTCAACATGTTGCAAGTAGAATCTTCACAGTTCACCGAAGTCCTCCATGGGTGAAGACTTACATCTCAGTAAATCCATCCAGCCCTTTGTTCCTGTACAAAACAATGGGGTCACCCTTGAGTCCTCCTTTCACCCCAATTCAGTCCATTAAGAAATTCTGACAACTCTGACTTCCAACTAGATCTAGGAAAACAGTATCTATTCTCAAGGTAACTGAGGGATCTTGGGAAGCTGCCCCATCAGATCACTTTTAGGCTCCATGTCACTTACCACCAAAGTCAGTCTATCATGGTTGCCAGTTATGACAGGATGTGCTCACCCACCCCATCTCTGTCCTGTCACCTCTGCTGTCCTTGCTCCTCCTCTCACTCTGCTCCAAGTACACTGGCCTCTGGCCATTCTTCAGATATCCACGGCCCACTCCCTCCTCGGGAAGTGTATTAGTTTGCTCGGGGTGTCATGACAAAGTGCCACAGACTGGGTGGCTGAAACAACAGAAATTTGTGTTCTCACCATTGAAATCAAGTTTTTGGCAGAACTGTTTCCTTCTGGAAGCTGTGAGAGAGGATCCGACCCAGGCCTCTCTCAGTTACCGTGGTTGCCTACAGTCCTTTGTATTCCTTGGCTTCTAGACAGATCACATGAATCTCTGCTTCTGTCTTCCCGTGGTGCAGACACGTCTGTCTTCTGTGCAGGTCTCTGAGTTCAAATTTTCTCTTTTTGGAAGGATACCCATCACTAGATTAGGACCAACTCTAATTCAGTATGACTTTATCTTGATATCTAAAAATTTTTATTGATTTTAGAGAGAGGAAGCAGGAGAGAGGCAGAGACAGACATCAGTTTGTTGTTCCAGTCATTTATGCATTCATTGGTTGATTCTTTTATTTATTTATTTTTTAATCCTCACCTGGGGACATTGTTTTCATTTCTTGTTCAGATAGAGTGAGAGTGGGGGAGAGAGAGAGAGAGAGAGAGAGAGAGAGAGAGAGAGAGAGACATAGATACGAAAGGGACACGTTGAGTGGCTGCCACCCGCATGACCCAACCAGGGCCAGGGACAAACTTCACATTGGTTGATTCTTGTACGTGCCCTGACTGGGGACTGAACCCACAACCTTGGCATATCAGGACAATACTCTAACCAACTGAGCCTGCCAACTAGGGTGACCTTATGTTGATTACATCTGCTAAGATTTTATTTCCAAATAAGGTCATATTCTGAGGTTCCCAGTAGATATGAAATTTGGGGGAACACCATTAAAATCAGTATATACACACACATGTACTTGTATATATTTTATAATCAATTTCGGTATCGGCTTTTAGTGTTATCTGAAATAATTATTTTACTGTTCTGGTTTACTACTTTCTGGACCCAGATTATATATATGAAATATATAAAATCTGTATATTCATAATCTTATCTCCTCAAAGTACTGAATATTTCTGTGCTACTGTGAAAGGTCAATGAAATCTACAAATAGATAAGGTTATTCATTGTGGGTAAGGCTGGGAGCTCTATTTCCCAGAATCCCCATCTTTATGACCCAGGTTAGAATTCAGCAATGGCCTCGCTTGCATGATGCTTGGAAGGTACTAGTGAAGAAACCATTACTCTCAGGGTTTGGAGCCACCATACTGACAATGCATTGGGCTTCTTGGGCAACAGCTCACAGCTTGTTTTTCTGATAACCAGCCCAGTCAGTCAACTATGTACCCAAACCAAAACCCACTTTTTCTTTTCAATTTCCTTAGAGGTCCTGGCCTCCACACACGAGCTACATGAGCTCCCGCATCATGGAACAGGTCTTTAGAAAAGAATGCACAGGTTTGAGGTTTCCAGCAAGCCCTCATGTGTCCACCAGGCCACAGATTTAGGTTGTGGATCTTCTGATACTTTGACTTTTCTCTTCTCCATGTCTTACCAAGTTTATATAAGGTCTCATTTCGGTAGCGAACTCCACTCTATTGACAATTTGAGATCTGAGACCCTGATTCCATCACTATGGTGCAGATCCATAGGACTTTGTTTCTCTCTGGAAGTGTTGAGTGGCCAGCCTTCCATGTAAGAAGCCCCTTCCTCATTTTTTTTAAATCCTCACTTAAGGATTACTTCTCCATTGACCATCTAGAGACAGTGGAAGGGAGGAGGGGAGAGGGAGAGAGAAAGAGAGCAACATCAATGTGAGAGAGGCACATTGATGGGTTGCCTCCTACACGACCCCAACCAGGGCCAGAGCACTGGGGCTGAACACACCTCGTGCAGGACTGTAGGATGTGTCCATAAGAACATATTAGGACATTTGACATATATTGAGTGTTCAAGAAAGTGACCCTTTACTCTGGATTCGATGCTGTCAGAAGGTAAACAACTTTATTATTAGATATCTTAATTGTTCTTTTCTCAAAAGCAGAGAGAATGAAGGGCAGCTAAAATTACTTAGCAAAGAGGCACCAGTTGCATTAGCAAGAAGCAAGAATGTTCGATGAGTTTTGTGGTTTGGACCCCGTTCCATTTTTAGCCTTTTTACAGATGTGCACTCTCCATCTTGCCTACGAGCTCCCTGCTCTGGGCTTACTCTGCTGCCCTGCAGGTGAGAATATAGGGACTGGACTCCAGAATCCTGCTGGGCAGGTATGCGCAAGCGCTTCAGCTCCTGGGAGAGCAATGTCCAGTCCAGGGGGACTGTAAGCACACCTGCCCATCCCTGCTTAGAGGGTACTCCTGGAATCCCACTGTGTGGTTGTGATCCATACCTTCCATGCTGTGACAGCTCAGTGCCAATATAGTGAGCCTTATTAGTGTGCGAGTGTCCCCACGAGTAATGGTAATATTGATTGGTAAATCAATGACACTGAAGAGTCAAGTCCATTCTGACAATTGTTGGAATTGATTAGGTACAAGCTTCCTCTCACTACAGGTATCTTTTATTATTATTGATTTCAGAGAAACATTGATCAGTTGCCTCTTGCATGTGCCCTGACCTGAGAGCGAACCCACAACCCAGGGGGTGCCTGAGTGTCTGACCAGGAATTGAACCCACCACCTTCTAGTGCACGGGATGATGCTCCAACCAACTGAGCCACACCTGCCAGGGCTCAGTACAGGTATCTTTACTGACCATTTCCTCTCTCAAGTCCCTCAGGGACTCGTCACTTTACACACCAGCTGAGACATAGAGCTACAGCAGGTAAATGAAAACACAACACTTCCAGAATGCACACGGCCAGAGAAGTATCACTGGAGGCCATCTGACACAGAGACAAACTAAGCTTTGTCTTCTGGGGCAGATCAATAGAACCATAAGTGAGCTGAATGAAAAAAGAAAAGCATGGCCCATTATTTCATCCTACAAAGGATCATCACTGGGCAGTAGCATTATCAACCAATTACCATCCTGTGGATATTCAGCAAAATTACTAGCAAAAAGATGTAAGAAGGAAAGTGTTTCCATTCTGGTATCAATTATCCATTAAATCTCTAAGAGCAATTGGAAAACAAGCATTTAGAAGCAGCATTTCTAGAAAAAATTGAATTTACTACTCAAGACACTTATGCCTGTAAACTGAAGCTCCATCTCCTAACTTATTCACACCACATCTAAAGTGCTCACCTAACCTAGAACACTCTGTCCCAGTTTTCCACAGACAACTAGGGAAGATACACACGTCCACTTCCTCTCCCACCCTGTTGAGCTGCATAAAAATGAAGGAAAACAAACCAGAAAATACTTTCAAAAGGTATTATGTATTTAATACTATTACCCCAGAATACATATGAAAAAATGGTCACAATTAGAATAAATTATTTCTTAGAATGGGTTATTTTAACATATACTCTCAGGTAATTAATGAACATAAAACATAATAATATGCATCAGTATACAACAGATTTGAAAATCTAAGTAATAGCTTTCTAAGAAACAATGTAGAAAACTCCATCTGAAAAAAAAATTCACTGTTCGAATCATATATAAAAAATGAAAGAATTAAACACTTGGTAATCACATATGAAAATTGAACATAATTAAACATACCGGGCTTATCATTTACAGAGCGTTCAGCTATAAACTTCCACAAATGTATTTACAAATGCTTATTTCAACCATGGAAGCATCCAGAAACAAGAAATGCAAGCTCAGTGCAGCCTCTGAACAATGCATCCTGGGAGGTAAGTTTCCTGTATTTGTGGCTCCAGCGTTAAATGTGTCAGGTGGAGGCAGAAAAAGGATCTGCCAGTAGAGAACAAGATGCTTCCTACAAAAATCATGTTATTAGGAGAGGTCCTGGAGATGATGGGGTGACAGGATGAGAGAAGATTGCTAAGTTCCACAGCCTGAAGAACTGGCCTGTTGGACATCAAAGAGCTACGGGAAAATGTAAGGATCCATGTGAACCTGAAAACCAAAGAGGGTCCATGATGGGGGAGCTCCTGGAAATGTCTGTAGAATCTGCTACCTGAGAGAAAAAAAAAAATCAATCATTTGTTTGATTGGGGCTGTTCCAGAGGAGCAGAGCCAGAGGTCAGAAGAATGTGCTGTATCTCAGGCCCACTCAGTTCCCATATCCCTGTCTCCTGATGGTAGAGATCTGAGAGCCGTGCCTTCTTCATTTCCAAACTCTTCCTCTTCTCTTGACCTAACAGAAGGAAGATGGGAAAGATATAGCTTCCCACCTTACACCTGTTGACAACACAATACATGGAATCATCTAGACATCAGCCTTCACTGTCACACTGTGAGGTCTCTCTTTGTAACCACAGTTACTGACTACTGCAAGGAACATAGATGTGGTATCCACTAGCAACAAATAAATGTGAAAGATACAAGTTTCAATAATAAAGACTAAAGGGAAGGGTAGATATCAAGTCAGGAAATTCCAGTATCTGCAGCAGTGAACCAGAAAAGAAATTTAAACAACAGAGGTCTCATATCATGATCACATACTAAAAACATAATGAGCCCTGGCCAGTTTGGCTCAGCGGTTAGAGCGTCGGCCTGCGGTCCAGAGAGACCCGGGTTCGGTTCCCACTAAGGGCACGTACCTCGGTTGCAGTTTGTCCCCGGCCCTGGTTGGTCGTGCGGGTGGCAACCACTCGATGTGTCCCTTCACGTCGATGTTTCTCTCTCTCTCTCTCTCCCTTTCTCTCTCTCCCTCCCATTCTATCTGTACAAAAAATGGAAAAATATCCTCGGGTGAGGATTAAAAAAAAAAATAAAAAAAAAAAATAAAAACATAATGAAAAGTAGAAATCAAAAAACCTTTCATCTAAAATCTTATCGTTTCACATAAAAAATAATTTTTAAAAACCACTTAATCTAACCACTATGCTGTTACACTTGAAACTAATACAAAATAATACTGAATGTAAACTAATTTTAATTTTTTAAAGCAAAATATGAAAGGAATAATATATTTACCACTCAGAATTTACAAATATAAACAAAGTTTAGCCATTAAAAAAAGAGAAGCCCTAGCAACTCTTAACTGTTATATGATATTCAGCAAGTCACGTTGGCTCTCTGAGCCTCAGTTTCCCCAACTGTAAATTTGACACAATAAAAATCACTAAATTATGAGGGGAAAAATAACACTTAATACCCCTATGTCCAAAAGTAACTGTAATGGAAATGAACAAGTTTTATACAACTATACAATCATTTAAAACCCAAGATAATAAAATATGTGTAGTACAGATGAAGGGACATAAAGAAATATTTCTTACCTCAAGCTTTCATATCAGCAACATGAGCCAGAAATTAATACACTGAAAATCATTATTAATAATGAGCCATTTACAAAGGCAATACCATATTTATAAGTAAAAGATTTCAATCCTGCTCTGAATTTTCATGTACAAAATAAGTGAAGTGCTACATCTGAAGGTTTTTCCACATTCTTTCCATCCATAGTTTCTTTCCAGTGTGTTCGCTCACATTTACAACAAAATTTTAAAGAAAAATGAAAGCATCCCACAGTCCTCGTATTCAGTTTCTGTCCATCATGTGCCTTCACATGTGCCGACAGATATTCAAGATGCATGAAGGCTTTCCCACATTGCCGACATTCAGGTATTCTTTTCACTGTGTGTTCTCACATGTTTTCGCAGGGATGTGGGGTACCTGAAAGCTTTCCCACAGTACTGACATTCATCAGGTTTCTCCCCAGTATGTGTCCTCACGTGTACTCGCAGGTTGTCAGGATACCTGAAGGTTTTCCCACACTCCTTACATTCATAGGGTTTCACCCCAGTGTGTGATCTCATATGTCCTTGAAGGGAGCAGAGACGACTGAAGGCTTTCCCACATTGCTGACATTCGAAGGGCCTCTCCCCACTGTGCATTCTCACATGTATTCGAAGGGATGAGAGAAAACTGTAGGATTTCCCACATTCTTTACATTCATAGGGTTTCACTCCACTATGTATTCTCATATGACCTTGAAAATGTTGAAGCTGCCTAAAAGCTTTCCCACACTCCTTACATTCATAGGATTTCTCCCCACTGTGTGTTCTCACATGTTTCTGAAGGTAAGAGTGACTAGTGAAGGCTTTGCCACACTGCTGACATTCATAGGGTCTCTCCCCAGTGTGTGTCCTCACATGAACTCGCAGGGAGGCAGCATACCTAAATGCTTTCCCACAGTGCTGACATTCACAGGGTCTCTCCCCAGTATGTGTCCTCACATGTACTTGCAGGTTTGCAGGAAACCTGAAAGCTTTTCCACATTGCTGACATTCATAGGGTTTCACTCCACTGTGAGTTCTCACATGCCCTCGAAGGGAGGAGTGACGACTGAAGGTTTTCCCACAGTGCTGACATACATAGGGTCTCTCCCCACTGTGCGTTCTTGCATGTTCTTGCAGATTTGTGAGATACCTGTAGACTTTCCCACACTCCTTACATACATAGGGTTTCGCTCCACTGTGTGTTCTCACATGTCTTCTAAAGTATTTCAGACTACTGAAAGCTTTCCCACATGCCTTACACTCATAGGATTTCTCTCCAGTGTGAGTTCTTACATGTCCCGTAAGGTAAAAGTAATACATAAAGCCTTTCCCACATACTTTGCACACATGGATTTTCTGTCCACACTGACCTCTCACATGTCCCCGAAAGGCTGAGTAACAAGTGAAAGTTTTTCCACATTTCTTACACTCAATAGAGCCTTTATTACTGAGACTCTTCACGTATTTCTTAGATGCTCTCCCAGTATCCTGACATTTATAGGGTTTCTCCACAAGGTCAGTTTCCACCTGAGTACTCTGGCATGAAACCAACCCACAGGCTTGTCCACATTCCACACATGGATGAGGTTTGTGTCCAGTGGGAGATCTTTGCTGATTTATAAGGAAAGAACAATCCTTGAAGACTTTTCCACACTTGGTGCATTCATAGTATTTAGCTCCAGTCGGATGTCTCTCATTCACAGGAAGATCTGTGATCTGGTTCAGGGAGCCTCCACATTGATTATGTTCATTAGTTTCACAGAGACTCTCCACAAGATGACTTCTGTTCAAAACAGGAAGCACACTATTATTAATGATCATAAGTGATTTCTTTATTAATGATTATTGATGGTGTTAATGATTACTTTGACCACATATTTACCATTTTCAATGCACGGGTATGTTTTTGGCAGTGTCTGCATTGTTCCATCATGAAATAAGCTTATTGCTCTGGCTGAGCTAAAATAGGGCCATCCAGCCCTGGCCGGTTTGGCTCAGTGGTTAGAGCGTCCGCCTGCGATCCGGAGAGACCCGGGTTCGGTTCCCACTAAGGGCATGTACCTCGGTTGCAGTTTGTCCCCAGCCCTGGTTGGTCGTGCGGGTGGCGACCACTCGATGTATCCCTTTCACATCGATGATTCCCTCTCTCTCTCTTCCTCTCTCTCCCTCCCACTCTGTCTGTACAAAAAATGGAAAAATGTCCTCGAATGAGGATAAAAAATAAATAAATAAAAAATAAATAAATAAATAAAATAGGGCCATCCAGAGTTTCCTGATCATTGTTTCCATCTAAATTCTGTTTCAAACACTCAATATCTACATCACATTTATTAAAATAGTGTGAAAATTCTCTGAGTATACTATTAATTAGCTAAGTTTATACTTTGTCTTTAATTTCAAGTTAGTCTAACACTCTGCTGAGATTCCCTATTCCCCTGTGTCACTTACCTCAAATGCCTCTCTTTAGGTTGGTGCTGATCTGCAATGTTATAAATTGTACAGTTTTCTCTAAAAACAGACCAGGAGTCGTCATCTCTTGTGAATCTTAGTATTTTCTCTTCACTGGATATTTCATTCTCCAAAGTATCCTGCCCAGGACATGATGCACGGGTTTTAACTTGAGTGAAACAATCTGTAACAACTGATAGCATAATTCAATTAAATTTCCTGGGAAAGAACAGTGAAATAAAGAAAAGAACAATGTATGGATTTATTTTCATATACTGGTCCAAAACTGTAAACAAATTTTATAAGGACCATTAATTTAAAAAAAAATTTTTTTTTCTTTATTGATTTTAGAGAGGAAGGAAGAGGGAGAGAGAGATAGAAACATCGATTAGAGAGAACATCTATTGGTCGCCTCCTGCATGTCCCCCACTGGGGATTTGGCCCACAACCTGGGCATGTGCCCTGAGCGGGAATCGAACCGGCGATCTCTTGGTGCATGGATCGATGCTCAACCACTGAGCCACACCAGCTGGGTAGGACCAATAAATTTGTAAGCAAAGAAAAACTCTAACAACTTTTGCTATTTGGAACTTTGGCAATAATAAAAAAACTGAGTCAAAATGGCAGCCTGCTCACTAAGAAATACTACAAAAAAGATAAAGACCAAATAAAGATAAATAAAAAATGCAAAGTAGGGATGAACTGGGCAAAATGTTGTGTCCAAATGCTCCCTTTACAAGAGAAGACACAGAAAGGTTTCCCATGTGAGTGAGGCTACATAAAAAGTCCAACAGAAAAGCTAGGTAAATGTAAAATGTCACCCTTCTCAAACACAGATTAAGTCATGATTCTAACAGATTTGTCCGAATATCAATCCTTTATCCAGAATCTATTCCTCCTGAGGGTTTTCGTTCTCTGGAGTTCTCAGACACAGAGGCACTAGATGAAGCCTTTCTTCACAATCCCCAGCTGCCACTAGGAGATAGATGGCGTGTTTGGCCAATGCCCTGCACCCTGGAGAATAGGTCTTCATCATAGAGGATGGAGGGCAACAAACAATCTATAAGAAGAGCCCATATTTGGGTTTCATGGCCAGTGATGATGTACAGTGTGGATTTAATTACAGTGTGACCATGTCAAATATGTATTAATCTCAGTGTAACTATCTCAAGGGTGAAAACCGTAAAGCTGCTCTCTCACTTCCCCACAACAAACCAGAAACTATGCTCACACATAAAAATTAGGGAACCTTAGACTTTTGTTCAAGAGAAATAAAAAGTAAATTTAATACATATTTTATCATGAAAAAGATATTTGACTCTGGATAGGTTCCATGAAGACTTGGATTGCATCTGTTTGTTTATTTATTTTCAACATACTTCCCTTCCTTGGACCCAATTAAAAAGACATTTGTAAGAAATACTTTTTCCCTAAAAGAGTAAGTGAGGGATAAAGCCATCCTTACCCACTGAGGCCAGGTTCCTGAAGGTCTCTAGCATCACTTCTCTGTAGAGCTTCCTCTGAGCACCATCCAGCAAAGCCCACTCTTCCCGAGTGAAGTACACAGCCACATCCGCAAAGACCACTGTGTCCTGAAACATCACACATATTCTATTTTAACAAGGCACCTCTTCACCAACATGTGCGGGAGGATGGGGGAGGCCAACAGGGAATGGAACTCAATTTCTAGGACTCCTGAGCTCATGCTTTTCGGGGGGAAATGACAATAAGCAAGCAAATCAAATGCAGTACACTCAGTGGTAATAAAGGCTTGGAACCTTGAAGCAAAGTACAAGTGGTATATATAAACGTAGCCACATAAACTAAAAAGAATGATTTTTAGCCCAGCCAGTGTGGCTCAGTGGATTAAGCGTCATCCCATGGACTGAGAGGTCCTGGTTCGATTACCAGACAGGGCACATGCCTGGGCTGTGGGCTCAATCCCCAGTAGTGAATGTGCAGGAGGCAGCCAATCAATGTTTCTCTCTCACATCAATGTTTCTATCTCTCCCTTCCTCTCTCTCTAAAAAAAAAAAAAATCAATAAAAATATTTTTAAGAATGATTATTACTGAGATATAGCAGATTCTAAGTATGTTAAAGACTGAAAATAAGATCATCATTCAGATAATGTAGAATCGAATACTTGGCTTGCTCAAAAGTTATTTCTTTGTCAGCTCCAAGACCTGGAACCAGAATGTCAGAAATTCATGAACACTGTGATTTCCGGCACCACTTGATATAAATGGATCTTACCTTGGAAGTCAACAGTTTTGAGGAGCCTGGTCTAGTTACCTCATATTTGACAGAGGCAAAGACAAAACCAGTCCCAGAATGAGATGGACACTATAGACATAGGTGTAGGCCAACCTGGGGTCTGGCACACCTGGGTAAGAGGAGAACCTGGTTCCTGAAGAAACTTTCAAGCCAGCAGGGCCTCACAAATAAACAACCAAGTGCCCAGAATCTGAGAAAAATTATCCCACAATGAAGAATCACTGAGGGATCTAATGGTAATAGAGCCAAAGGCAACTTTTTTTTTTTTTTTTTTTAATCCTCACCCGAGGACATTTTTGCATTTTTTGTTCAGACAGAGCGGGAGGGAGAGAGAGGAAGAGAGAGAGAGAGAAACATCGATGTGAAGGGACACATCGAGTGGTTGCCACCCGCACGACCAACCAGGGCCGGGGACAAACTGCAACCGAGGTACGTGCCCTCAGCGGGAACCGAACCCGGGTCTCTCTGTACCGCAGGCCGACGCTCTAACCGCTGAGCCAAACCGGCCAGGGCCCAAAGGCAACTTTTAAAAAGAGAGAAAAAAACTAGCTAATGTGTATTTTAGAGCAATATTGAATGACACTGTACCAATAAAATAAAGAGCAAACAATTATTTCAAAAATTGAGATTTAAAAAAAATGTGTTCTAAAAATCACAAAACAAAACAAAAAAACAACTACATCAGGTACAGAAAAGGCAGCACTACTTCAACCAGGGTTGCAACTGGGATTTGCCAATCACATACCTGATAAAAGACATAAATGTATATAGAAAACCTCATATGACCAGTTTTTATTTATTTGTTTTTTAATCCTCACCTGAGGATTTTTAAAAAATATTTTTATTGATTTTAATTTTTTTTTTTTTTATCCTCACCCGAGGACATTTTTTCATTTTTTGTTCAGAGTGGGAGGGAGAGACAAGGAGAGAGAGAGAGAGAGAAACATCAACGTGAAAGGGACACATCGAGTGGCTGCCACCCACACAACCCAACCAGGGCCGGGGACTAACCGCAACCGAGACACGTACCCCTAGTGGGAATCAAACCCAGATCTCTCTGGACCGCAGGCCAATCCTCTAACCACTGAGCCAAACCGGCCAGGGCAAATATTTTTATTGATTTTAAAGGGAGAGGAAGGGAGAAGGGGAGAGAGACAGAAACATCGATGAGAGAGAACATAGATCAGCTGCTTCCTGCATGCTCCCCACTGGGGATTGGGCCCACAACCTGGGCATGTGCCCTAAATAGGAATCAAACTGGCAACCTCCTGGTGCATGGGTCAATGCTCAACCACTGAGCCACACCAGCCGGATGATATTTTTCTATTTATCTTCAGATAGAGTGGGAGGAAGGGAGAGAGAGAAACATCAATGCAAGGAAGACACATTGAGTGGTTGCCTCCTGCACGACCCGGACCAGGGCTGGGGACCAAACCGCAACCAAGGCACGTGCTCTTGACTGGAATCGAACCCGAGACTCATTGGTCCACGGGCCGACACTCTAACTGCTGAGCCAAATGGGCCAGGGCTGACCAGTTCTTTTTAAAAGGCAACAAGATAAGGACAAATAATATAATTTAAAAATGGGCAAAGAATGTGAGTACATATTTATCCAAAGGAGAAATTCATATGGCCAATAAGCACATAAAAGATTCTAGACATTACTTATCAGGAAAATGCAAGTCAACACCAAAGCAGATATCTGTTCACACTACTAGGATGGCTATGAAGACAGACAAGTACTGGCGAGGATGTGAGGAAAGTGTCTAATGAGAAGTAGTGAAGCCACTTTGGGAGACAGCCTGGTAGGTCCTCAAAATTATGCACATGGTTACCACATAACACAGCAATTCCACTCCTACATGTCTATATAACCAAGAGAAGCAAAAACAAAAATCACCGCAAAACTAGTATAGTCACAAACCAGATAACATTTCAGTCAAGGATGGACCACACATATGAAAGTGGTCCCAGAAGATTATAATGAAGCTGAAAAATTCCTCTCTTTGTAGCCACTGTACCATCATAGCACAATGCATTATTTGTGTGGTTGTGGTGATGCTGCTGTAAACAAACTTACTGTGCCACCAGTCATATAAACATAGTACATACAATAATGTACATGTTACTTGATAATGAAAATAAAGGACTATGTCAATGCTTTATGTATTCCCATGATGCCAAGAGACCAAGCTCCAGTATTTAAGAATTTATTAAGGAAGTCCTGGCCAGTTTTCTCAATGGTTAGAGCATAGGCCCATGGACCAGAGAGTCACAGGTTTAATTCCAGCCAAGACCACGTACCTCAGTTGCGGTTCGGTCCCTGGCCCTGGTTGGGGTCATGCGGGTGGCAACCAGTCGATGTGTCTCTCCCACATCGATGTTTCTCTCTCTCTCTCTTCCTCTCTCTCTCCTTCTCGCTCTATGCAAAAATGTCCTTGGATGGGGATTAAAAAAAAAAAAAATCAGTCAGTTCAACTATCCCCATATACTAAATGTAATTCTCAAATGGTTCCTAGGCCAGGTACTAAATATTAAAAAATCAGTGATTTTAAATTGTAGAGAGAAAAAAAACAGAGTATTACCAAAACTAGAAAGGGACAATTCAAAAAATATTCATTGGCAAAAACATTCACAAACATAGAGGCAAAGCCTTTTAAAAAGGAAAGCTAATACATAAATGTATAAAAAGCATACCAAATCAAAAGCAAGTTCATTTCATTCCAGAAAGGCAAAATAGATTAAATACTGATTGTTCAATGAGTATAATTTATCCCATTGATGAAAAGAAAAAAATGCACACTAACCATAGGCTTCCAGTCCATAAATACTGAGGCCATGCTGGTCTCATGTCACTGCTCATTGATGACAATACAACTAAAGACAAGAAGGGAACACACATAGACAGAAAGAAATGGTGTCTACATAAAGCCCAGAGTCAATTTCCTATTTAACAGTAAAATGTTACCACTTTTCCCTCTGAGATCAGGAACAAGAAGGTGAGAATGAGCATGTACAGGATTGTACACCTATGAAGTCCTAGACAATGTGGCCATGGAAAACAAGAAAGTGGAAAAAGATTTACAAAAGGAAAACACTAAACTTCACTAGTACCAGACGACAAGATTTAGTATTTAGAAATCTTCCAATCCTATAGTTAAATATTAAATTTATAATTGATCATAGCAGGGGTGTTAGTTAAAATATAATATTCAAAAATCAAAATCACTAATAATACATCTGATAAGGGGTTAATATACAAAATTTATAAAGAACTCATACATCTCAACACCAAAAAAACAAACAATCCAATTAAAAATGGGCAAAGGACCTAATCAGACAGTTCTCCAAAGAGATGGCCAATAGACACAAAAGATGCTCAACAACACTAATCATCAGAGAAATGCAAATTAACACCACAATGAGATAACACCTTATACCTGTCAGAATGGGTATCATCGATAAATCAACAAACAACCATCATTGAGAAAGTGGAGAAAAGGAAACCCTCGTGCCCTGTTGGTGAGAATGCAGATTGGTGCAGCCAATGTGGAAAACAGTGTGGAGGTTCCTCAAAAACTTAAAAATGAAACTGCCTTATGACCCAGTAATTCCACTCTGGATATATATCCAAAAGAACCCAAAACACTAATTCCAAAGAATATATGCACCCCTATGTCCACTGCAGCATTATTTACAATAGCCAAGCTATGGAATCAACCCAAGTGTCCATTGATAGACCAGTGAGTTTTAAAAAGCTGTGGTACATATATACAATGGAATATTACTTGGCCATTAAAAAGAATAAAATCTTACCATTTGTGACCATATGAATGGGCATAGAGGGTATTATGCAAAGTGAAATAAGTCAGTGAGAGAAAGACAAATACCACATGACATCACTTATATGTGGAATCTAAAGAACAATATGAACAAACAAAACCAAAAGAGACTCACTGATACAAAGAACAGACTGAGGGTTCTCACAGGGATGGAGACTGGGGGTTGGGTGAAAAAGGTGAGGGTTTGAGAAGTACAGATTGGTAGTTACAAAAAAGTCATGGGGACGTAAAGTACAGCATAGAAAATATAGTCAATAATATTGTAGAACTATGTATGGTGCCAGCTGGGTATTAGAATTATCAGGGGGAACAGTTTGTAAAGTATATGACTGTCTAACCACTATGCTGTACACCTGAAAGTAATACAAAATAATACTGAATGTAAACTGTAATTTAAACATTTTATTATTATTTTCGTTAATCCTCACGGGAGGATATTTTTCCATTGATTTTTTTTTATCTTCACCCAAGGACACTTTTGCATTCATCTTCAGATAGAGCAAGAGGGAGAGAGAAAGGAAGAGAGAGAAACATCAATGTGAGAGAGACACATCGACTGGCTGCCACCCACACGACCCCAACCGGAGCCAAGGACAAACTGCAACCAAGGTGTGTGCCCTTAGCGGGAACTGAACCTGGGTCTCTCTGGTCCACGGGCCAACGCTCTAACCACTGAGCAAACCAGCCAGGGCTTCCATTGATTTTTTAGATAGAGTGGAAAGGAGGGAGGGATAGAGAAAGAGAAACATTGATGTGAGAGACAGACATATTGGTTGCCTCCCACACAAACCAACCAGTGCTGGGGATGAACCTGTAACCCAGGTACGTGCCCTTGATTGAGAATCGAACCTGAGACCCTGCCAAACCAGCCATGGTTAAAAAAATTTTAAATCTATTTCAGTTCCACATACAGTGACAGGAAGATAATGACATTTGAAAAGATACCACTTAGCTCTGGCCAGTTTGCCTAAGTGGTTAGAGAATCAGCCCATGGACCAAAGAGTCATGGGTTCGATTCCTGATGGGGTTTGTCCCCAACCCTGGTAGGGGCTGTGCAGAAGGCAACCAACCAATCAGTGTGTCTCTCTCACATCGATGTTTCTCTCTCTCAAAGTTTCATCACATCGATGTGTGTGTGTGTCTCTCTCTCTTTCTCTCTCTCAATGTTTCTCTCTCTCTCTCACCCTCCCACTCTATCTGAAAATAAATGGAAAAATACCCTCGGGTGAGGATTAAAATAATAACAACAATCATAATAAAAGATACCACTTAGTCTCCTTCTCCCTAGGTGCCCGGGTGACCCACCTGCCTCCACCACAAAACTATCAGGGAATAGATGAGGACAACAAGAATCTGGAGATGAAACTGGAAGTATTATGTTCTATTTCTAGAGGAGATTAAAGTTTCTTGAAATTTTCTGGTTTCCTTTCAATATAGGGTGAAAATGGTGATCCCAAAGTCAACTTAATAGAAAGTTCTGTCCTCTCCAGGAAAAAAAGGGAAGAGTGGTCCGATGAAAGCCAGCTCAGATCACAGCCTGCTTCCTACAGTGCACAAGGCAACCCAAACACCTTTACCTCCGGATCTGGGGGCCAGGCCCTCCCTGTTGACAGGTAGTCCAGGGTGGCCCCACCCAGGGAAGGAGTGAGGGGGCCCTGAGCCCCCGGAAACCAAACTTTAGATCCCTATACACCCTGCTCTCCCTCCTCAGTGTGGAAACAATGCCTTCTCCAGGGCCTCAACTCTCACCAAGGAGGTAAGCAAAAGTCCTGACCCAAATTAACTCTCAAATTCATCAATTTCCCTCCAACAGTAAAATCCAAAGGTTCTGACCTTCCCAGTCTTACTTTGTTTTAACAAATCACACTTAACTCCAGCAGCTCTGTGGATGATGCCATCACAGGTCACAATTCACAAAATGTGCATTACTCTTTGACATCAGCTATGAATAGGAAGTGAGACAGGATCACAGTGTCACAAACTCTGTGCTGAGTGGAAAAGTCACTACGACTTTTATGAACCTTTTTTTTAAAAATGTTTTTATTGATCTTTTAGAGAAAGAGGGAGAGAGAGAAACATCGACATGAGAGAGAAACATCAATCGGCTGCCTCCTGCATACCCTGCACTGGGGATTGAGCTCATAACCCAGGCATGTGCCCGGACCGGGAATCAAACCAGGACCTCTCAGTCCATGGGACAATGACTCAATCCACTGAGCCACACCGGCTAGGCTTTATGAATCTTTTCAATCCATATTTCCACCAACTTTGCATGAAGGTGTGAAACTGTGTGCATTTCCCCCACAATTCTAATAAAAGAGAGGACATTTACTGTATTTGACACACTTTTCTTCAGAAGCATCTCTGGTTAAGTGGAGGAATAACATGGGTTGGCAGGACAGAGACTTGAAACATTTAACTACCCTCATTAACATGAAGAAATGAGGCAAAAGGAATTCAGTCATTTTACATCTGCCGAAACCTGAGGCTGGAATAAGGGGAAGCTCTTAGTGCTGAGCTGGACACACAAGGGGCTGCTCACTGGTGTTGGGTGACAATGCTGAATCAATCCTTCCTGACCCTGTTCTGGAAACAGCCATGAAGATGAAAGGGTCCACCCCAACCATTTGTTCTGAAAAGGGCACATTGCAAGAACCACTGACTTAGTTGACTCTCAGATATTTCCTATGTTTACCTATGACAAAGCCAGAGGCAGACACCCCATATCCCATTCTCTGAGTCCTAAATGATTGGCTGAACTGTTCCTCCAAGAACAAAGGCTTGTTGGCCAGACTTTGGTTCAGCTTCTCTCCTACCCCCAAAACCCTGGATTCAGGCCTGTGCTCAGCTTTAGCCCACAGACACCCCCTCCTGAGAACACACTGGCCTGGGGGACCTGCCATCCCAACCACACCTGATCCTTCCTACTTTTGTTGACTACCCTCTATAAAAGCAAAACTCAAAGCCCAACTCTTGAGACACATCTGAGTTCTCCATAATGCACAGCCCCTGCCCCGAATGCAGTCTTCTCCTCACCCTGTGCAGTAACTCTTTCGAATAAAAGTCTCTCTTCACAAAGCTTGGATTTTTCAAATGTCACAGGTTTGACCAAGTGTTCACAATTTCCTATCTTTTATCCAAGCTTTACTAGCCTTCTGTCCTCCCGACGGGCTCAGACATTGCCCCCCCCCCCCGCCCCCTGCCCCCCAATCGGAACGGGCACTGAGATGTGGATGAGGCCCCGCGGAACTGAGCGGATAATTCGCTGAGCACAGGGAGGCCGGCTGCTGTGACACCGCCTTCCTGCTCACCCTCCCGCCACGGAAAAGCAAAGCCCGGTTCTGATGGGAGACGCGGGCACAGCTCTGAGGTCCACGCACCAGTCTTTGAACCGTGTCTCATGGGACGTTATCTGTCAGGTCCAGATCAGGTCCTTCCCCCCTCGCCCCGCCCCCAGCCGCTGGCCGCCCGCGATGGCGGTCGCCTGGTCCTTCCTCGGTCCCCCAGCTCGGCCAGGGACTCGGAGCCGGGACACGACGCTGGGGCCGACCCCGCAACCGAGAAAGGAGACTAGGAAGGGTTGGTGTGGCAGAAGATGCGAGCCAAGTGCCGCTTCCAGCCGGTTCTTGCCGGTTCGAACCAACCTATCCCGGTCTCCGCCCGCTCCGAGCACTCACCATCTCGAGGCCGCGCTCCGGGCTCTCAGGGCGTCGTCCCCGCCGCGGCTCGGCGCAGCGTCCTGAGACACTGACAGGACACCTAGGGCCCCTCGCGCAGGTACGCAAGAGCGCCTCCGCCGGCGGGGAGAGACGTCTACGCTGGATGCGAGGGAGCCCGCCTCCGGCGGTGACCGCTCGGTCCCTTCACAGATTGGACAAGTGCTGCAGGCATCCGCGACTTGATTGGATGGGACTCCAGGCTGTTCCTTTTCTAAGGATCCTGATTGGGCATAATTCCGTCACGCCACCAGGCCATGATTGGAGAGTTTTGAGACCCGCTCTGGGCCCCGCCTCCGTCTTCCCTCATTGGACAGTCACAGACCTGGGAGCCTGAGTAATGGGCGGAGGTAGAGGTCGCAGGGCTGAACCCTAAGGCTGTAGGAAATATTGGCTTCAGCCCTTCCCTGCCGAGCCGCACCCTCCGGCGCACGACTTGGACTGCGAGCCAACCCGCTCCTACCCAGGCCACCCCGCGTCTGTGCGCAGCTCAGGGGCATAATCTTGCCCTCCTCTTGGACAGGACTGAAGTTTCCCCGTGGATCTTTCCTTGTCAGGAGCCGGGGGCAGGTCCCGATCGAAGGGTCAAGGGTCGGCATTGGGGCGAGGTCACAGTGGATTTGTGCCCTTTGTTTAATAACATTCATTCATTGAAGGGACCGTGTGCAAGGCAGTGTCAGAATAGATTTTCACTTGTGAGGTTTGACACCGTGAGGCCCTGTCCCCACATTGAGGCTTGAGGTCAGCAACCTGTGACCCCAGGTACTTTGTCTCCACCGGAAGTGGAACCCTGTGGACCCAGCTGACTTACAGGCCTAGTTTCAGTACAGCCACAGGTGAGATATTGGAATTCTTAGGTGTGCATTTTACACTGCAAGAGAAATTGAGTCAGATCAGGATTTTAGTCCCTGTGAATTTTGAAATGTAAAAGGTTGCAATTTGATGGAAGATTAACAGACTTGAAACAAACAATCAGTTGGGAGGATCTGTGGAGGAGCTAGGGCTCATGTGAGGAGTTCTCAGGATGTTGACGTTCTCACACACATCGTCAAAACTTGACACGAAGAATTCTGTGCTTACAATAAAGCTCTATGGTTGTAACTGTCACTCCCCTTAGCTTCCTTTTTTTCCCACTGTATAAATACCTTGCCAACGGTGGCGAGTTCAGTGTGCATGTGGCTTGCCATGTCTGTATGCACTGCAGTGTAATTTTTTTCCCCAGAGTAAATCCTTTTTGGTGATGAAACAATTGATATCGGTACATCTCTATTTTTAAAAGCAAACTTAAAGGCCATAATACCCATAATCCTACCTCCTGGCCACCATTCAAATGCTTTCTGTCCCTATGGATTTCCGTATTCTGGATACAGTAGTTCCTCGTTTATCGCGGTTAATCAGTTCCAGACCGAGATAAATGAATTTCCGTGAAGCAGGATTCTTTATTTATATACAGTCATCCCTGGCGATTTCACATTTGACTTTAGCAGCTTAACCGCGATAGAGGGAAGCCCCGAATTCAAAGCACGATGTGGCGAGGGACAGCCGTATTTTGATATAAAGTGAATCACTATGTGGCCTTTTGTGTCTGGCTGATTTCACTTAGCATGATATTTGGAAAGTTCTTTCAAATTGCAGCACCTAACAAAGCTTCATTCCTTTTTATGGCTGAATAATATTCCATCCTATGTATATGCTATATTTTGTTTATCCAGTCATGAAACCAGGAAGTGAAGGCCCCTCAGAAAATATCTTTAATTAAAATTTTAAAAGGTCTGTATGCTAATTTGCACTAACAGCCACAAGAAGGAAGTCACATAGCACCCTGTTAACCATTATAAAAATTGCTTGGCCTAGGGCCTGTTAAACTTCAGGAAAAATAGCCCTGGCTGGTTTGGCTCAGCGGTTGGAGCGTCGGCCTGTGGAACAGAGAGTCCCAGGTTCGGTTCCCGCAAGGGGCACGTACCTAAATAAATAAATAAAAATTAAAAAATTAAAAAAAAAAAAAACTTCAGGAAAAATAACCAAGATGGCAGAAATAATAATAGCATAGAATAAAAGTCACAAGATGTGTAGCTTCTACCCCTGCACATCAAGATAACCAAGTAAGGTGCATTGTTAAGATGTTTTCCAGCACATAAAGCAAACCATCAACTGAAACCAAGGGTCCTGATTTAATGTATGATTTTGATGTAATAGGAAGCCCCAGCCCTCTATTCAGTTTCTTCGAAGCATGTCCTATTAGCCCTATCCCTTATTAGTCTAGTCATTAACCTCCTAACACAGCCAGAAACAATGGCCATTCCTTGACTAAGGGGTCACAAGGTTTGGGTTTCTGTTAAAGATAAAATCATGACCTGGCCAGTTTGGCTCAGCGGTTAGAGCGTCGGCCTGTGGTCCGGAGAGACCCGGGTTCGGTTCCCGCTAAGGGCACGTACCTCGGTTGCAGTTTGTCCCCAGCCCTGGTTGGTCGTGTGGGTGGCAGCCACTCGATATGTCCCTTCACGTCGATGTTTCTCTCTCTCTCCCTCCCTTCCTTTCTCTCCCTCCTACTCTATCTGTACAAAAAAAATGGAGGAATATCCTCGGGTGAGGATAAAAAAAAAAAAATCATGACCCAACTTGTGTTTCAGCTCCAGAGTCCTAAAGCAGAATGACCACTGGCCATGTCCCCATTCAACAAGACTGAGGGACACCAATGCTGACCTCAAGATCTGAAATTATGATTTACTACCCTTACCTCACTCTTGCCCAATCAGCAGGACCCATAACCCCAAACCCCTTACTCATTATGACACATGATTTTGCTCTCTAAAGTTTGTCTGCAAAAATTCAAGGAGCTAAGGCCTTTAAGCATCAGCTTCTTGTTCTCTTAGGTGGCACCATTCATAACAAAATAGCCAATCTTTTTCCACTGCAATTCTCTGCGTGTAGTGTTGGGCTTTGCTGGAACCAGGTGGACAAACTTTCAATAACATTCATCCATTGATAAACATCTACACCTTTTGGCCCTGGCCAGTTTGGCTCAGCGGTTAGAGCGTTGGCTTGCGGTCCAGAGACCCGGGTTCAGTTCCCGCTAAGGGCACGTACCTCGGTTGCAGTTTGTCCCCGGCCCTGGTTGGGTCGTGTGGGTGGCAACCACTCGATGTGTCCCTTTCACATTGATGTTTCTCTCTCTCTCCCTCCACTCTATCTGAACAAAAAATGTCCTCAGTGAGGAAAAAAAAACATTTACACCTTTTGGCTATTTTGAATAGTACTACAAGGTACATTAATGTAACCTATTTGAATATCTGTTTCCATATAGGTAGGAGGAAAACAGTGGGGTCATGTATAATCCTATGTTTAAATTTTTTGAGGGAGTACTAGCTCTTTTCCACAGCAGCTGCACCATTTTCACATTCCCACTGGAAGGGGTTCCAATTTCACCACATCATTGTTTTTTTTTTTTCCTTTATTGATTTTAAAGAGAGAGGAAGTGAGAGGGAGAGATAGAAACATCGGTGAGAAAGAACACCGATTGGCCGCTTCCTGCATGCTCCCCAATGGGGATCTGGCCCACAAGCAGGGCATGTGTCCTGACCGGGAATCAAACCAGCGACCTCTTGGTGCATGGGTTGATGCTCAACCACTGAGCCACACCAGCCGGACACATCATTATTTTTTCTGAATTCTTTCCAGCTATCTTAATGGGTAGAAGTGATATCACATGGTTGGTCTGATTTGCATTTCCCTGGTTATTAGTGATGCTGAGGATCTTCTCATGTGTTTATTGCCATTTGTATTTCATCTTTGGAGAAATATCTATTCAAGTCCTTTGCCCACTTTTTATCTGGGTTGTTTGCATTTTTGTCCGGATGTGTTATTTATATATTCTGGATAATAAAAGCTTATCACTTATAGGATTTACTAATATGTTCATTCTGTGAGATGTCTTTTCATTCTCTTGATAGTGTTCTTGGATGCACAAAGAATTTTAATTTTGAAGAAGTCCAATTTACATACTTTTTCTTGCGTTGCTTGTACTTTTGCTGTAATATTTTTTAAATCATTACCAAATCTGAGTTCATAAAGATTTTACCACTTCCTTCACTCCTGGGTTACCCAGGACAACCTGCTGGTGGGGGAGGGATTCTCAGAAGAGCCACTTTCATGTCCTGGAACAAGGAAGAAGATCCTGATAAAACACATGTACCTAGAAATTTTTTGTGAAAAGCCATGAAGTTTAAGGTAAGTTTCCACTTGACATAACTATTAAGTAATAATCCTACAAAGCTGTTAATAACCATTTTCCTATGGCTACCTACATATAGTTTTGAGGTTTTATATAGGAAATTGTGTCAACTCTGAAAAAAATGTGACTTTTTTCTTCTTTCATATAATTTACACCGCCCTGGCCGGTTTGGCTCAGCGGTTAGAGCGTCGGTCTGCGGTCCCAAGAGACCCGGGTTCGGTTCCTGCTAAGGGCATGTACCTCGGTTGCAGTTTGTCCCCGGCTCTGCTTGGGTCGTGTGGGTGGCAGCCACTCAATGTGTCCCTTTCACATCGATGTTTCTCTCTCTCCTTCCCTCCCACTCTATCTGAATAAAAAATGGAAAAATGTCCTCGGATGAGAATAAAAACAATAAAAAAATAAAAAAAATAAATTAAAAAAATAATAAAAAATAAATAAATAAATAAAACTTACACCTATTTCTCATGGCACTGGCTAGGATATCTAGTTTACTACTGAAGGGATTGAAGTGATAGGTATCCATAGGTATCCTTGTTTTGTATATAATTTTATTGAACAGGTGAATTTTGACCACTTATATATGAGTTCTTTCATAAACATTGCTTTTGATAATGCCCATCAAAAAGTTGTGCGAATTCTTGCCCTGGCCGGTTTTGCTCAGTGGTTAGAGTGTCGGCCTGTGGTCCAGAGAGACCTGGGTTCAGTTCCCGCTAAGGGCACGTACCTCAGTTGCAATTTGTCCCTGGCCCTGGTTGGTCGTGCAGGTGGCAGCCACTTGATGTGTCCCTTTCACATTGATGGTTCTCTCTCTCGCTCTCTCTTCCTCTCT